CTACCTCGCCTGACTAATTTTTGTATTTTCAGTAGAGACGGGGTTTTGCCATCTTGGCCAGGCTGGTCTTGAACTCCTGATCTCAGATGATCCACCTGCCTCGGCCTCCCAAAGTGCTGAGATTACAGGCATGAGCCACTGTGCCCAGCCGCAGTTTTAGTAAATATTTACAATTTTGTAAGCATCACCACTATCCAATTTTAGAACACTTATCTTCCTGTCTGGTGATTTCAGTTGTTTCAATGGCTGTGTAGTATATCTCACTGTGGTTTTAATTTGCAATTTCCTAATAACTAATGATACGGAACATCTTTTCATACACTTATTTACTGTTTGTACCTCTTTTTAGTGTGTGTTCAGATGTTTTGTCTATTTAAAAAATTGGGTTATTAGTCTTTTGAGACGGAGTCTAGCTCTGTTGCCTGGGCTGGAGTGCAGTGGCACGATCTTGGCTCACTGCAACCTCTGCCTCCTAGGTTCAAGCGATTCTCCTGCTTCCGCCTCCTGAGTAGCTGGGACTACAGGCGTGTGCCTCCATGCCCAGCTAATTTTTGTATTTTTAGTAGAGATGAGGTTTCACTATATTGGTCAGGCTTGTCTTGAACTCTTGACCTCATGATCCACCTGCCTTGGCCTCCCAAATAGTCTTTTTGTTATTGAGAGTTCTTTATCAGAATATTTTGGAAATGTTTTCTCCTGGTCTGTTTTTTCATTTTCTTAATGGTGTCTTTTGAAGAGCAATAGTTTTTAATTTTGAAGGAAGTCCAACGTATCAGTTTTAAAAAATTACTCTTGCCTAACCCAAGGTCACAAAGATTTTTCCTATGATGTTTTCATTCCAGAAGCTTTATCGTTTTAGCTCTTACAGTTAGGGCTATTATCCCTTTTTAATTATTTTTATATATAGCATGAGGTATGAATTGGGGTTCTTTTTTGGCACATGGATATCCAGTTATTTTAACATCATTTTTGAAAAGACTATCTTCTCTTTTGATTGAAAATTAGTTGGAGTGTTACATTGATCTTCATGTATACATACCAAAGCTGCAATGTCTTGATGATTGTTTGCTTTACAGTACATTTTTGAAATCAGGCAATCTAATCCTTCAACTTTGTTTTTTTAAAAATGTGTTTTGGCTATTCTAGGCATTTTTCATTTTCTATATAAGTTTTAGGATTAGTTTACTAATTTCTACAACAAAAATCTGCCGGGATTTTGATAGGGATTAGGTTAAATCTTTACAATGATTTGGGGATAACTGACATTTTAACAACCTTGAGCCTTCTAATCTTTCCATTTATTTGGGTCTTCCTAAATTTCTCTAAGCATTGGTTTTTAAATTAAAAAAAATTTTTTTTAGTTTTAGTGTTATAAGTATTATTATTATATTTATTCCTAAGTATTCTTTTTGATATGATTGTGAATAGAATTATTCTTTTTTTTTTTTTTTTTTTTTAAAGACAAGGTTTCACCATATTGGTCAGGCTGGTCTGAAACTCCTGACCTCAGGTGATCCATCTGCCTCAGCCTCCCAAAGTGCTGGGATTACAGGCGTGAGCCACCACGCCCAGAATTATTCTTTTTATTTCAATTTCATCACTGAAGTGCTCATTGCTGGTATATGGAAATACTGTACTACTGATTTTTGTATATTGAGCTTGTATTCTGAGATTATGCTAATTTACTTAATAGTTCTGGTATCTTTTATGTAAATTCCTTAGTTTTTGATTTGTAGGTCATATCATCTATGAATATACAGTTTTACATCTTCCTTTCCAATCTGAATGCCTCTAAAAAGTGTTTTCCTTGCCTTACTGCACTGGGTAGGACCCACCAGTTACAATGGTTGAGTAGAAATGGTGAGGCATAGAAACATCCTTGCCAGGTTCTCGATCTTAGAGAAAAGGCATTTTTTTTTTTTAAACCATAACTATGATGTTAACTATAGATGCCCTTTATCAGGCTGAGCAACTTCCCTTCTATCCTTACTTGGGTGGGAATTATTGTGAATGGATGTTGGGTTTTGTCAATGATCATGTGCTTTTTGTCATTTCTTCTATTAATACGGTGTATTACATTAATTGATTTTTGAATGTTAAGCCAACCTTTCATTTCTGGAATAAAACCCATTTAGTTATGGTATATAATCTTTTTTTATGTGTCACTGGATTTGATATGCTAATATTTTATAAGAGGTTTTGTACTGATGTTCACAAGGGACATTGCTTTGTTTTCCTTCTTTTTAAAATAGAGATAAGGTCTCACTATGTTACCCAGGCTGGTCTGAAACTCCTGGGGTCAAGCAACCTCCTGCCTTAGCCTCCCTAAGTGCTGGGATTACAGGCATGAGCCACCACGGCTGGCTGGGATATTGATTTGTAGTTTTAATTCTTTGTGATACCCAATACACAAGACATCTTAGTCTGGCGTTGATATTAGGGTGATACTGTCTTTATAAAGAGGGTTTGGAAGTATTTCCTCCTACTATTATTTTCTGGAAATACTTGGGAAACACTGGTATTTTTTTTTTCCCCTTAAATATTTGACAGAATTCACCAGTGAAGTCATCTGGACATAAGAAAAATCTAATAACAACTTCAGTATCTTTATTTGATATAGGCCTAGTCTGACTTTTTATTTCTTCTTGAGCTTTGATCACTGGCATGAGCCACGGTGCCCAGTCCATCTAGTTTCATATGTTCTTTTCATTCATTTAAAGATAATTTTGAATTTCCCTGTGGTTTTTTGTTTGGCCCATGCATCTTACGAGTGTGTCATTTAATTTCCAAATATTTTGGGTTTCCCATATTTCTGCTGTTGATTTCTAATTTAATTCAATTTTTTTTTCTTTTTTTCTTTTTTTGAGATGGAGTCTGGCTCTGCCACCCAGGCTAGAGTGCAGTGGTGTGATCTTGGCTCACTGCAAACTCCACCTCCCCGGTTCAAGCAATTCTCCTGCCTCAGCCTCCCAAGTGGCTGGGATTACAGGTGCCCGTCACCACGCCCAGCTAATTTTTGTATTTTTAGTAGAGATGGGGTTTCACTGTGTTGGCCAGGCTGGTCTTGAACGCCTGACCTTGTGATCTGCCCGCCTTGGCCTTCCAAAGTGCTGGGATTACAAGCACTTTGAGCCACCGTGCCTGGCCATTTAATTCAATTTTTTTTTTTTTATCAAACAACGTATTTATATTATTGTAATAATTTGAGTTTATCAAGTCTTATTTTATCTGCCTAATATATGGTCTGGAAAAGTTCAATGCATACCTGGATGAAAGAGTGTATATATATTTTTGTTGTTTTGTGGAGTGTGCCCTAAAAATGATTAAATCAAACATGTTGACTGTTAAGTCTTCTGTATCCTTAATTGAGTGTCTGCAACTGTTCTATTAATTACTGAATGAGAAGTGTTGAAATCTCTAACTATAATTGTTGACGTCTATTTCTTTCAAGTCTGGAAATTTTTAATGTATTTTGTGGCTGTGTTGTTTGATACTTACACATTTAAAATAATCACATCTGGCTACTGCATTTTAACATTGGTGAAGCGGGAATATTTGTTTCCTGGGTAAAATTTCTGTCTTTTGACTATTTTAGAACTGGACAATATTTACGCTTTTACTATTGATTTTGAAGAACCTAATTATAAAAAAAAAAGTATTGGCCATATGATGAAACCCAGTTTGCCCTTTGATTGTGATACAGAATTTTGTCACTTTTTTTGGTTACACTTAAAATTTACTCAAATCTATAAATAATTTCCTTATACATTTCTTCCATTACTTTTATGCTTTTAAGGTCTTTATTTGCATGCAGACGTTAGTTTAATATGCATTTATTTCACCCCACCATGGAGAACTAACATTTTACTGACTAGCCTTTTCCTGACACATTTAACATGCTATTTTTATCATATGCTACCCATTACTATGCATAATTTTTCTGTTTTGGCATGAATACTATACTTGCTTTAATTACTATGGCTTCATATAGTCCATCTCCCCTGTACCCCACTGTACCTTTGTTTCTTTTCATAACTTACTGCTATTCTGTGTCTTTATTATGCTATGTGAGCTTTAAAACTAGCTTACTCAGTGGATGTGGTGGCTCACACCTGTAATCCCAGCACTTTGGGAGGCCAATGTGGGCAGATCACGGGGTCAAGAGATTGAGACCATCCTTGCCAACATGGTGAAACCCCATCTCTACTAAAAATACAAAAATTAGCTGTGTGTGGTGGCGCCTGCCTGTAGTCCCAGCTACTCGGGAGGCTGAGGCAGGAGAATTGCTTGCACCCGGGAGGCGGAGGTTGCAGTGAGCCGAAATTGTGCCACTGCACTCCAGCCTGGCACCTGGCGACACAGTGAGACTCTGTCTCAAAAAAAAGAAAAAAAAAAAAAGCAAGTTACATTAATGAGAAAGATTAATTGAGGCCTTTAGAGAAGCTATGACTAAGAAAGAATTGGAGGAATTGCAAAAGGAGCTATTACAAGATGATGGAAAAAACCAGCAAATTATAAAGTTGCTGAAATGATCCAAGCAGTCGAATTCTTGCATAAATTTCTTAACATGGTCCCTATATGGAATTATGCCCTGACCAGTAGAAATAACATGTAGATGTTACTTCCTTCACAAAACCATGTGTAATAAAGATTTGTTTTAAACATTATCATCTTTATTATTTGAAGGTGTTTTAGTTATTCTAGCCTCCTCTTTATGTACAGACTTTATCAATATCACTAAAATAGCAGTTTGATTGCTCAGTGATTTTGGTTTCCAGTGAAAGATGAGACTTGTTAAAGGAAATGGACTTGAGAAGACTATCAGGAAATGAGTGAAGATTGCTGGAAAAAATATTCTTTTAACTGAAGTTGGTTAAATTATATTTTTATGCTATTCAAAAATGGAAAAAATACAAAAGAATTTTGTAAGGGGGTTTTAATACTCTGGACATGCGCATGCCTGTTAAAAAGTTCCACAAGACATAGGGAAACTCACTCACCCTTCCTGGAATTGTGCTTGGGCAGATTCCTCCGCAACAAGAGTCTCATACTCCTCAGCAGCAAACCGGTCCCAGTCAGAGGGCTCAGGACCATCACTCTCAACATCCTGATTGGAAAGAAGACAGCCACAAGAAACAAAAATAATCAAAAACAAAGAACTGGAGATAGATAATCACAAATGTATACTGCTGAAAAAATCCTACCTCAAAAATATTTCATTTCAACAGGTTTAAAGTGGTGCTAAGGTAACATTCCTATGGTAGTTTTCTACACGTCAAAGGGCAAAATTATAACTGTTTAACTGCTAGATTTTTTAGGTATAGATACCTTTTTTTTTTTTTTTTTTCCCTGAGATGGAGTCTCACACTGTTGCCCAGGCTGGAATGTACCGGCAAGATCTCGGCTCACTGCAGCCTCCGCCTCCTGGGTTCAAGCAATTCTTTTGCCACAGCCACCCAGGTAGCTGGGACTACAGGCAAGTGTCACCATGTCCAGCTAATTTTGTATTTTGTAGAGATGGGCTTTTGTCATGTTGGCCAGGCTGGTCTCAAACTCCTGACCTCAGGTGTCCACCCACCTCAGCCTCCCAAAGTGCTGGTTTATAAGTGTGAGCCACCGTGCTTGGCTGATTCAAACTTTTTTTTTTTTTAAAGAGACAGGGTCTTACTCTGTTGCCCAGTCTGGAGTGCAGTGGTGTAATAATAGCTTACTGCCGGCTGGTCCGATGGTAGTGGGTTATCAGAACTTACTAACATTAGTGTCACTAAAGTTGGTATACAACCCCCCACTGCTAAATTTGACTGGCTTTAAAAAAATTAAAAGAAAAAAAATAATAGCTTACTGCCAGCCTCAAAATCTGGGGTCAAGTGATTCTCCTGGCTCAGCCTACTGAGTAGCTGAGACTACAGGTATGCCACCATGCCCTGCTAATTTTTAAATTTTTTTGTAGACACACGGTCTCACTATGTTGTTCAGGCTGGTCTCGAACCCCAGGCCTCAAGTGATCCTCCTGTCTTAGCTTCCTAAGTAGCTGGGATTACAAGCACAAGGCACAGCATCTGGTAAGTCTAGATTCTTTAACCTTGAAATTAGAGATGTTTCTCTGGTCCCCTCTCCTCTGGCACTGTGCACAGCAGCCACCTGGAGTTACTTGTGGTTTGCACAGTCCTGCCTGAAATGTACCTTCCCCAAACTCCCATTCTCTGGCAAATTTTTGCTGTTCAAAAGCCAACTCAGATACCATGTTATCTGTGATATCTTCCTGGCAACAGCCCTTCTCTCCATATCACTTCCTTTTTTCTAATGTAGATGTTTTGGTTGCCACCTTTGCTCTTGCATCTCTGTCATCTTCATATATACAGTATCTCTTCAACACAGTGTCCAGAATTTATTAAGCGCTTTCTGGCTAATAATGTTCTTTGTAGATCAGGACAAATATCAATAATTGCACCATTTATAAAGAAAAGTAAAATTTAAAGGTAAAAATTTTAGAGCAAAAATGGTATCACAAAGAAAATAAGAGGGAAAAGACTACACACTTTCATGAGTTTTCTTGAATTGTATGTTTCAGATAAACTGTCTTTCCAAGCTGAACATGAGTTAGTGCTGACGTAGGATCTAGAGTTAGTTGTGCCAAGAATAATGTTAAGTTCCTAAACAATGACCACTATTAATTACTATACTTAATTCATTTTAAGACCCCATCTCTGTCTTTTAACATTTATGAACTTGCAATGCATCACAGGCTTACAACTGGCAATATTTGGAGTTTTGTTTTTGCTTAGAGAAATATAAAGCAATGGAGCATGTTCAATTCAATGAAATAGACTTTAAACCAGCGATAATGCAACTTGGTATGTGGAGATCGGCTGCAGAATATTTGTTTTTAGAAGGTAATCTTCATATTATTACTATTTAGGTCAAACAGTTATGAAACATGTAGAAGAAAAAAGACTGCAAAAGCTTCTTATAGTTTATTGCTACTCAACTGAAATAGTCTATTCTTTATTTATTTATTTATTTTTAATTTTTTTTTTTTTTTTTTTGAGACAGAGTTTCACTCTTGTTACCCAGGCTGGAGTGCAATGGCGCGATCTCGGCTCACCGCAAACTCCGCCTCCTGGGTTCAGGCAATTCTCCTGCCTCAACCTCCTGAGTGGCTGGGATTACAGGCACGCGCCACTATGCCCAGCTAATGTTTTGTGTTTTTAGTAGTGACGGGGTTTCACCATGTTGACCAGGATGGTCTCGATCTCTTGACCTCGTGATCCACCCGCCTCCGCCTCCCAAAGTGCTGGGATTACAGGCTTGAGCCACCGCGCCCGGCAATAGTCTATTCTTAACATAATTTTTACTTCTTAGAGGAATGGTAAAAACAAGGGGTGATATTCCATTTTTATTATTTATTTATTTTTTCTTGTATGTAACATAAGGGCAGTGGAGATCCATTTTTATTTTTAACATGGACCGTATATCCAGGGTTTTCTAAAGGTCCACATGTTTTTGTGTCTAGGGAATGGTATTTATCTTTATTCAGATGTAGAATGATATTCAAAACTGATACCCATGTATAGCAATCATTAACACTTAAAATAGTGTTATATTATTTTAAGTTTTTCTATCATGGAGACCTTCCAGGTTTTACTGCAATGGGGAAAGCTATTTACAATGGAATCCTGAAAATGAATGGTACAACTGAATCAAGGCCACTATAGTTTCTAATACAGATGTGCCTATTTTTTTTTTTTTTTTTGAGATGGAGTCTCTCTCTCTCACCCAGGCTGGAGTGCAGTGGTACGATCTTGGCTCACTGCAACCTCCACATCCTGGGTTCAAGCGATTCTCCTGCCCTAGTCTCCTCAGTAGCAAGGACTACAGGCACATGCCACCATACCCAGCTAATTTTTTTTTGTATTTTTAGTAGAGACGGGGTTTTGCCATGTTGGCAAGCATGGTCTCGATCTCCTGACCTCGTGATCCACTTGCCTCAGCCTCCCCAAGTGCTGGGACTACAGGTGTAAGCCGCTGCACCTGGCCCTGTTGATACATTTTTAAAAGTTAGAAGGACAAATTTTTTTCAAAACTACTTGTTTGCAACAAGTTTCCAGTGTGTGTATCAGCAGATAAGCCATACAGTTCACTCAATGGAAAGTGCTTAGGCAGATGCAGGTTACCTAAACCTGATGATCAGCTGTGGAGAGACATGTGCCGTAAGTCCTTTGTTGCCTCTTTTTAGTCTTTAATGAAATGTTGTAAATATTTTCGCTTTACTGAAATTCCAGCATGTAGACACCATTTTAATATGTAGCACACACGGCCCCTGATACTGCAGCCCTCAAATAAAAGTTAAAATTATACTGATACCTTCTGGACCGCAAAGGGATCTCTCTGTTCATGGTCTAAATATTTCTCCAGATTAAAGAAAGTGTCATAGAAGATGTGAGCCATTCTGCATCTCTTCAGATCTCTTAGAGTTATTTTGCCTACGTAAAAATAAACAAATCTGGTAAATTTCATCAAGAGCTATTTTGGCAAGAGAAAAACAACTTTCACTGATGTCTAAAAGTATAGATATATGTTTATTATAAAAGTCCTATTTTCAAAATAAAAATTAATTGAGGTAAAATTCACTAACAAATTCACCATTTAAACAAATTTAAAGTGCACAATTTAGTGGCTTTTAGTACACTCACAATGTCGTACAATCATTACCACTTTCTAGTTCTATAACAATATCATCACCCCAAAAGGAAACTCTGTGCCCATTAAGCAGTTCCTTTCCATCTCTCCTCATGTGCTTTCTGTGTCTAAGGAAAAATCCTCTTTCATCCCCCAAACCTGCTTTCATTTTGTTTTTAAAAAAGAGATGGGGTCTTGCTGTGTGGCCCAGGCTGGAGTGCAGTGGCTACTCACATGCACAATCATAACGCAATCCTCCCAGCTCAGCCTCTGTAGCTAGGACTAGAGGCACACACCACCATGCCTGGTGTAAAATCCTATTTCTTTTCTTTTTTTTGAGATGGGATTTCATCATGTTGGGCAGGATGGTCTTGATCTCCTGACCTCGTGATCAGCCTGCCTCAGCCTCCCAGTGTTGATTACAGGCATGAGCTACCGTGCCCGACCTTAAATTCCTATTTCTTAAATAGTAGACTCGCCATAAATTGCTACACTAAGGCTGAGTGTGGTGGCTTATGTCTGTAACACCAGCACTTTGGGAGGCTGAGGCAGGCGGATCACCTGATGTCAGGAGTTCAAGACCAGCCTGGCCAACATGGTGAAATCCTGTCTCTAATAAAAATACATAAATTAGCTGGGCATGGTGACAGACTCCTGTAATCTCAGCTACTTGGGAAGCTGAGGCAGAGGAATCGCTTGAATCTAGGAGGTGGAGGTTGCAGTGAGCCGAGATTGTACCACAGCACTCCAGCCTGGGTGACAAAGTGAGACTACATCTCAAAAAAAAAAAAAAAAAAATTGCTACCCTAATAGTTAAGGAGAAACTTTAAACACCTCTGTACTGGGAAGCCTGGTTGGAAGACTCTGAAAAGTTAAATAATTTAGGACAATCTAGGATTCTGTGACCCCCCCCCCCACCCCATACATAGGTGAACAGTGCAAATGTCCCATTGCTTGGTCTCACCATCAGTGGCTGGCTTCACTAGGTCAAGCATCTGGCATAGTAAATCATGGAATGGCAAGGGCTCTATTCCCATGGTTTCCATCCGTTCACACTGCTCCTCATAGAAGTACTCCAGCTCATACATGGAGAGTATGCCATCCCCATCCACATCCATGCAGCGGAACCAATACTCAATGCTAGGCGATAAGGACATTCATTATCGTGGGCCTGGTAAAGATCTTTTATTCATCCAGATTTACTATGTTTCTTTTAAAAGAAAAGCTACATATTATGTACACTTCAGGGTTACATATAGTTTTACCAAGTTTGTTAGAAAAAATGGTATACCGCTTCTCCCCTTTATTTTTTTATCCAGAACCAACCATGTTCAACACCTCATTATTTTGCTTTTTACCTTCCTATTTTCAGATAACATGCCTATACCACTCCTTTCTTGTATTTGTTTTAAGAACTGTTTAAGAACCGGGCATGGTGGCTCATGCCTGTAATCCCAGCACTTTGGGAGACTGAGTCGGGCAGATGACTTGAGGTTCAGGAGTTTGAGGTAAGCCTGGCCAACATGATGAAACCCTGACTCTACTAAAAATACAAAAAATTAGCTGGGCATGGTGGTGCATACCAGTAGTCCCAGATGCTTGGGAGGCTGAGGTGGGAGAATTGTTTGAGCCTGGGAGGTGGAGGGTGCAGTGAGCCAACATTACACCACTGTACTCCAGCCTGGGCGAAAGAATGAGACTCCCTCCTCAAAACAAAACAAAACAAAACAAAACAAAACAAAAAAACCAAAAAACCAATGTATTGATTTCACACCATGAAAGATGAACTTTAGTTCATTTACAATTTCTCACCACTTTGCCTACCTGCCCTTCTTATCCTCTTAATAAAGTTAACTTGCTCAACATTTAGAATTTATAATTTTTCTTTTATCTCTTATTTGCTTAGTTTTCTGTGTACTTATTACTAATTCAACCCCTAACTCTCTGCTGGTTGTCTAAATCCACACTCAGTCCTATAAGGTGCTCTGTCAACTGCTCGTTCTTGATGAAGTCTTCCTTGGTTCCTTCTGACCTACTCTAATCTGGGCTACTTGGACTCTAGGCATGGCTCACAGTTTCATCTAGGGATTCCTTTCATCTTTCTCCTGTTTCTTGTTTCTCACATTTTCCTCATTCTTTGTTTTGTGTCCTCATTGTTTTGTTACTCTGTGCATTCTCCAGCAGCCTATTAAATGAGGGAGCATGGCAGGTATATTTTCTGAGATCTAGGATCTTTGAAAATGCCTTTTTTCTATCCTGTAATATGGTTGGTATTTTGGCTGGTTATAGAATTAGAGGTTGGTGGTGCTTTGCCTGCAGATTTTTTTTTTTTTTTTTTGAGACGGAGTTTCACTCATGTTACCCAGGCTGGAGTGCAATGGTGCGATCTCGGCTCACCGCAACCTCCGCCTCCTGGGTTCAGGCAATTCTCCTGCCTCAGCCTCCTGAGTAGCTGGGATTACAGGCACGCGCCACCATGCCCAGCTAATTTTTTGTAGTTTTAGTAGAGACGGGGTTTCACCATGTTGACCAGGATGGTCTCGATTTCTTGACCTCGTGATCCACCCGCCTCGGCCTCCCAAAGTGCTGGGATTACAGGCGTGAGCCACCGGGCCCGGCCCTGCCTGCAGATTTTTTAATTTTCACTTTAGAAATGGGGTCTCACTCTGCTGCCCAGGCTAAAGTGTAGAGGCACAACATGACTCACTGCAGTCTTGAACTCCTGGACTCAAGCAATCTTCCCAAGTAGCTGGAACTACAGGTGCATGCCATGGCTAATTTTTTTTTTTAAATCCAGATGGAGTCTCACTCTATCACTCTATTGCCCAGGCTGGAGTAAACTGGTGCAATCTCTGCACTGCAACCTCTGCCTCTCTGGTTTAAGTGAGTCTCCTGCCTCAGCTTCCCAAGTAGCTGGGATGACAGGTGCCCGCTGCCACGCCCAGCTAATTTTTATGTTTTTTAGTAGAGATGGGGTTCACCATATTGACCAGGTTGGTGTCAAATTTCTGACCTTAGGCAATCCACCCACCTTGGCCTCCCAAAGTGCTGGGATTACAGGTGTGAGCCACCACACCCAGCTTGGCTAATTTTTAATTAAAAAAAATTTTTTTTTTTTTTTTTTGTAGACACAGGGTCTCAATATATTGCCCAAGCTGGTCTCAAACTCCTGGTCTCAAGGGATCCTCCTGTCTTGGCCTCCCAAAGTGCTGGGATTATAGGTGTGAGCTACTGTGTCTGGCCTTTTCCTTCATATTTTTAAAAAGTATTGATCCATATTGTCTGTCAGTACTGATGAGAAGTCTAAAGCTTTATTGGTATCTATTCCTTTGACTATAACATTTTGTTTTTTTCCTCTTAGAAGCCTGCAGAGGTTTCTCTGAGTTCTTGGTAGTTTGAAATATCATGATGGAGTTCCTTGGTTGAGATCTAACTCATCTATTTGGCTGGGCTTTTATGAGAACCTATTCAGTTTGGAAACTACTACCCTTCAGTCTTTGAAAATTTTCATATCTCTTCCCTGCCCCTTTTTTTTCCTTTTTAAAAACTGTTATTCAGATCTACATAGCCCAGCATGGTATAGCTACTAGCCACATGTGGCCTTTTGAGCATTTGAAATGTGGCTAATCAAATTTGATGTTTTCTCAGTACAAATACAAAACAGATATATAACTAAATTAATTTTACCTATTTTTAAATTTTTCCATTGTGGCTAAATTTTAAACCTATGTGACTTGTACCATGTTTCAATTTCTAATTATATTAAATTTTTTTGACCTGGTTCTCCAGTTTTCATATCTTGTCTTTATTTTCTATTGCTTCATCTTTTTTTGGGGAGGGGGTTTCTTCCTGGGAGGGTTACACAGATTTATCTTCTAAACATTGTTTTCTTATTTCTGCTATTGTAGTTTTGATTGCTCAGAGCTTTTTGGTTTCCTGAATTTTCCTTTCATAAAAAGTATCATTCTGTTCGTGTCCTGTGATTATAATTTCTTCTCATATCTCTCTGAGGATATTAATCACTGTTTCCTTTCTTGTTAAAGTTTTATTTTCTCAGAAAGTCTCTGCTTCATCCAAGTTATCTCCCCCCCCCATTAGTGTGGCCTTTATTTTTTGTGTAAGAGGCTTTACTCAGGTATCTAGTGATCCTCTGTTCTCTGCTCATATTTGAGAGTAGGTGCTAAAAAGCTGATTGGAGGTTCTGATTAGTGGGTCTGTTGACTCTGGGCTTTACTGTAAAATGAATGGACTGGGTTTTTTTCCTTGGGAATGACCCAGTGACAAATCTTCAGGTCTTTATTCTTGGGCGGGTCCATTCCCAAGAAAGGCATCTTTTAGTTTCTTGCTTGGAGGTTCAGGGCAGGTAGGCAGCATTCTGTTAGCTGAGTGAGGAATGAAGACTGGGCGTCTCAGCATTCAGTACGCATACACTCATTTCATCTGTGTTCAAGATCGCATCCACATCTCAACTGTGCCCAGTGCTCCCTAGTCCGGAGGCCCTCTGTTTTATACTCTTCAGGGAATAAAGCACCAGTTGTATGCTAGGGTAGAGGACATGACCTGAAGATCAACTGTTCATTTAAACAATCTATCAGGTCTCCTGTTTTTGGCTTTACATTTACCCCACCAATCACTTCCAAGGTTCCTGGTATCCCCAAATCCGGAATGTTTGGAGGTTTTGCTGGGTATATCTAGTTGCTTCTTGGTTTTTCCCTCTGCTGGCTTAGGATTCAGGTGGTCTGCTATGTTTATTTGCTTTTCAGTTTCCAACACTTTGTTATTATCTCTTCTCCTATATCCTTTATGTAGGCAACAACGTTCATTGGTAATATGGAACAATATTTTTCTAAAGAACCACAAATTCACGGCAAAGTAAAACTTTTCAAGAGAAGGTTCTATGAGACTGTTGTTCAAATTTCCACTTGTAGGCCTGAAACCATATTAAGAACCATACCTTTAATAGTTTTTTAAAAATCTCCTTTGGGGAGAGAAATGTGAAAATAACTAAGTTGTAACTATTGGCTGTTTTCAAGTAAGTCACATTAAGTTCTGTGTGTACTTTTTCTGAGAGAGACATAGTTTATGTTATTGCAAAAAATTGAACATGTAATACTTGGAAAGTTTATTTTTTGTTTTTGAGAGAGGCTCCCATTCTGTCACCCAAGCTGGAGTGCAGTAGTGGAGTCATAGCTCACTGCAGCCTCAACCTCTTGGGCTCAAATGAGCCTCCTGCCTCAGCCTCCAGAGTAGCTGAGACCACATGCATGTACCACCACACCTGGCTAATTAAAAAAAATTTTTTTGTAGAGATTGGATCTTCCTATGTTGCCCAGACTGGGCAAGGTCTTTTTGAGAAATATATTTTAAAAATTGTACCAACTTGATGTTTAATGTTTTTATATTAAAGAACAAAGGGGACATTCACTGGGTTTATTGAATATGAGGTAACAGGTTGGCTATGGTGAGGTTCAGTCACATCATATCTACTCTTAGAATATAAAAGGGGCAGAATGCTGCCCCACTGTGAAGCTAACCCTGATTGCGCGAAAAACCTTGAACAGTTGCAGAGGGCTGCAATACATGTAATAATAACTGGTTGTTAACACTGTTGTGTCTTTTTCCTTTTTTTTTTTTTTTAAAAATAATGGTTTTAGTACAAAAGGGGCAGGGGACTGTCCTCTGACTGGTCTCTAAGATCTCTTGGTGTCTTGAAAGTCCTCATTACTTAAGAGAACCAAAATCAAGCAAAAGGGAAGAAGGTAAATCTTGATTTTGATAAGGATTTAACAGGACTGAAGTGAAACACAACTTATTTTACTGTGAAAAAGAAATGGAAATACTTTAGTTACTTGCATTTGCAATTAAGAACTAAGACAAAGAATCTTATCTTTACAATAAATAAAGTTGAAGCATACATTTCAGTTCTTTGTAATAGCCCATTAGAGAGAAAGAAAACTAGACTGCTAGAATGCAAACAGATAGACATACTGCCTGAGTATTTGCCAAAGGCACATGATAACTGCTTTTAAATATCTGAAAGATGTGGTAGATTAATCAGATATAATTCTGTGAACTTTGGAGAGCATAAGGTTGAACGAATGAAAGAGAAAAATGAAACAGGCTGCCTCAGTGGATAGTTA